CCCCCCCCCCCCCTTGCTTCAGCCCTGGTCCCAACCCCTGTATCTGAAACCTTTGCTGGACAGCTTGGCTTGTTAAAGAAGTGGATAAATAAAGAATCTATTGGCAGGATCAAGTTAAACATAAACAGCTAGTGACAGACCACAACATTTATGTCACTTTTTATTTTGCTCATAGTTGCACCTTTTTAGACTATCTTGACTGGAGCATAACCTTTAACAAAACGTGGATGGATCCAAATTTCCTAAAGGGTTTAGAATCAGAAAACTATAGCATGTGATTAATCAAAAAGAAAAAAATTACAATAAAATGATGAATTGGGTACAATAATCTTATGGCCACATATGCCTTTATAATTAATTGTTAGTGTTAAGTGTACAGTACTGAACTGTCTGCACTAATAACCTTAGATATTATCATTTCCATAAGGGTATGCATGCAACTTGTCCCTGGAAGCTTGAAATGTTAGCAAGTAAGCAGTCTAGTACACAGCAGGAACACAATTCAAGCTTATGTAAATTAGCTCCAGACACAAATTCCTGCTTTGTCCTTATTATTGTCATCATGTTAGGATTAATTGCACTGGAGAATAACTATACACTTCCCAGACACTCTGATGAACGCCTACTCACCAAATGTCAGACTTTGAATCGTATCCCTGGTGTTTCAAGACTTCAGGGCTCATATAGTACGGAGTCCCGGTGAAGGTTGTTGCCAGGTCACTTGAGCCCATCAGAAGACGAGAAACCCCAAAATCCCCTGGAAGCATTTGGAATAAATAATGAAATAAACAACATGTGTGCTATAGTACTATATATATATATATATGATAAAATGATTGTATCATATTAAATGGCAATTTGAGCTGTAATATTTAACTGTGTAAACACATCAATAATAAATATGGCACTTTAGCAAAGAGTCCTAATTAAGATTTATCATCACATCATATTATGTTTTAATAATTTCTATTACATTTTGTAGGTCTCAGAAGAGGGGTAAATAGAATGTTAGATGAACTGAAATACAATACATATCTATCTATCTATCTATCTATCTATCTATCTATCTATCTATCTATCTATCTATCTATACACACTATATTGCCTAAAATATTGGGACACCCCTCCAAATCATTGGAGTGAGGTGTTCCAATCACATCCATGGCCATAGGTGTATACAATCAAGCACCTATGCATAGAGACTGCTTCTGCAAACATTTGTGAAAGAATGGGTCGCTCTCAGGATGTCAGGAACTGGATCTGAACCCAGGGCCTCTGCTGTAGCTGGCAGTGGTTCTACCTGCTGAGCCACCTTAGAACCTTGGATAGCTCCTTGCCTGATCTCCTGTGTAATCCTCGATTAAACTTAGTTTCTGCTGAACTCTGAACTCCTTGCTCCTCCCTAGAACTTCCTATTTATGCCATGCCTCTGCACTTCCTGTTTGCCAGATTATTGTGCAAGCCCTCTTGAGGCTATAACCTCTCCCACCTGATCGGTTTTAGCAAGTAGTCTAAGAAAGAAGAGTCCTGTGTTAACTGAAACAGAAATGGGTCATCCCTGCTGACTGCAGGACCATGGCAGACAGAACACCAGTATACAAATGGGAAAACCTGTGCTCGTTGGCTATCTGAAGAGACTTCCAGGATTTCATATATCTGGCATTAATCTACTACTAGCTGTTGATAGTAGAACATTCCTCCAATTCAAGTGAAAAATAAAGCAGAGAGGAAGGAGCAATCTATTCTCCCAAGGACACTAAGCAAAACTGAGCAGGCGTCAGGGGTTATAGCCTCAGGGGGGTGGTGGCTTTTAGTTTTCTATGTGCTTGGTGTCCATTTCTCCTGCGGGCAGCAGTATAACTCTAGGTTATTTAATTATCATCAAGTTGTGCCCTTTCAAAGAGAAAAACATTACAAAAATTAAAAAAATGGATAAGCCTTACATGATTTGGCCATCTGGTACACAAATTGTTATTTAAGAACAATGGAGACCTCAGTTAAATATTTAGCTAATGTTTAGAACTATAAATAGAGGTGAACTGGTATTTTCCCCTCAGGGATTTAAATTTCCATTAAAGGTCATTAAGGGTTATTAAAATATAATGCAGATGGTGACTGAGTATGATTAATACCTTCATCAAAGTCATTAGTGTTCCTAATACTATCTTTTTAAAAGTAGAAGGATAGATTACAGCTAATGACAAGTTGCTGTCCATCTAGAATTCAATAAGATGTGTTTCAATAGGGCTCTGAAAGATCTCAATATGCTTCTGGGTTCTGAATTCAGAAATGTCACCCATGCACATAGCTAGGAGTTATGCTGTTTTAACATACAGCAAACAGTTTACATAAAATCCCCTTAAATCAAATTTTTTTATAAATTGACACCTGGAAAAACAAGACTCTTGATACTTACCTGTCTGGCGGGTGACATGTGCTAACTTCCTGGAGAGTCAGATGCTTGAATCCTCAGCCTTGAACTGTGGTTTCATCTGACAGCTCCTACATCACCAGTGTGTCCTGTAGAGATGTAGGGGCCGGTGGTAGGTATCAGGTAGACCAAACTTCTGACACATGGCTGGCTGTAGAAGATTCTTCTACAATGGTAGCTCTTCAACAGGGGAAGAGCCAGCAGCATGGAGGCACAAAAAATACCAAATGCCTTCTTTTACAGGCATTTCTATTTTTACATTTTTTTTAGGAAGCAAGATTTAAAATAAACTTGACCTGTCCTTTAAATGTGCCTAAGGTAACAAAAATGCTAAAGTGCAGATATCTTGTGGTACCAAAAAACACCTGTGTTAGAATTTTCAGATTGATTCCTATATACCTGTGAAGCCCTTTGGATCCTTGGCTCCAACTGTTCACATGGCCATGAAGTTGTGATTAAGCCCTGCCCCTTCTGGTGATAAATCCCATTTGACATTTAATAGTTAAATAACAGGGAACCTGCCTTAGTTTTAAAAACAAATGGAGAATAATATCAATTTGGAGAGAAGCTACAGCCTGGGCCTCACATCCAAGAGGCTTCATTAGGACACAGGAACAACAGACAAAGATGCTCGCAGAGAAAACACAGTGGGGGGAATTTAGCAAAACTGGAGCAGATTTGCTTTGCAACCAATCAGCTTCTCGGTCTCATTTTCAAATCTTACCTGAGCAAGCGGTAGAGAGATACGGGTTTGTTGTCATGGGCAACTGCTCCAGATTTTGTCTGCTCCAATCTTGATAAATTCCCCCCGGTGTATATATCTAAGCAATGTTGTCACCTTAACTTAGAAATATGTCATGTAAACTCCTTTATTTTGTTCAACTGGAATTATGTTGGCCTATTTTCCAATGTTTCTCCCATCCAATTGCATATTTTGTTCATTTAGCGGCATTTCAAATTACAAGGGTTACCTATCAGATGTTTAAACTGTTTGGTGCACATTTTTATACACATTTTCTCTGTGCTGTATTCCATTAGTTGCTTCACTGACTTATCCATCTGCTAAATGGACTTGCTGAAGAGAGGAACACCAAAACCAATTTCGACCAGTTTCATTTCTGTGTTCAAAAATAATTATCTAAAGTTACATAAATTCAGCAACAAATAATTTTTAAATTTGATACATGAACATGAGGCAACCGAAGACAGAAAGACAGAGTCCTTTTACTGAGAGTACATCTTAATTAGGCGACTTCTGTCATCAAGACTGCAGTCTAATTGCTGTATCAGTATTCACATCAAGTGAGATAATGAAAATTGTTGTCTATATTTTGCAATATAAAAGGTTGTTTTTTCCTCAATTAATTATGTTCTGCCTATTTTCTCAGTGGATATACATTTAATAGGACTTACAGTATACTCAGATGTTAGCTTGTAGGTACATTCTAGTCAAAGGATACTTAGAATGGGGCATGTTGTACCTGCCCTGTGTTTTATTTTTGATCCAAACATTGAACTGCATGTGTCCACACAGACAAACCAGATGAACAAAAAGCCTAACATGTTCCTTTCAGCTATCAAATTTAGGCCAAGCTTGTAAATTTTAATCTGCCCGGTAATGCAGGAAGAAAAGGGTCAAGAAGTTACATATATAGTTCAGAAACTAAATTTCTACTGCTCTTTTAGAGCTCATTCACACTTTTCCGCTCTGGTACACATGCATCAAGGCAAATCCATGTGTTGTGCTAAAGCAGTCTATTCACTGCAACTCAGCAAAGCGGACCAGAAAGCATACATTCGCCATTTTCAGCAATGCAGTGCACCACAATGCACGGTTGTGCGTGGCCATGCATTGCGATGCACTGCAATCCCTTAGTGCATTGGGGTGCTATTGAAAATGAATAGCACCAGATTGCACTAACAAATGGTGAATTAACCTGTGTTGCAGTAATGCATGTGTTACCACAATGCATGTTTAGAACTGCTGGCAATATTTTTATTTGATGTCTGTGCCTTACTGTCCTGCTTCTCACATTTCTTGTAATGGTATTACAGGTGAATAAAGAAAAAAAATCTCCCTAGTGGGGTTACAGACAGAGATAAAGCTTAAACAAAACAAATCTGGGTCTGGGCTTTACATTTGTGCAATGTTATGCATTTAGCAGCCCTATATAAGTGAATGATATTCAAATAGTTCCTGCTGCATGAGCATTAGAAAGAAGTGATTGGATCTCTGGACTATATACAGTAAATTCTCTGTTAATCGGTATCCAACTAACCCGGAACTCTCATCTTACCAGAAAAAGGGATAAATACCTAAAAAAGACTTGCTTCTATTTAAAATTATTCAATTAGGGATGCTGCTACTTTATGTATCCTAAATAATAATGTAAAATTTACAAAACATATTACACATACAAATTATGTGATGCCAGGATACAGTGTCACTGTATACAGTAAATTCTCTGTTAATCGGTATCCAACTAACCGGAACTCTCATCTTACCAGAAAAAAATCCACTGTGCACTCACTGTTTTGCCGTTCCTCTGAGACCTTGTAGGAGGTGAGAGAGGGCTCTGCATCATTGGAGGGTAGAGGATCGGGCAGAAAAGTGTGATTGCTGCTGGTACTATACAGATACAGAATATTAATATGAAGTCAATACAGAGTTTGTTATGACAGTGGCATCACAAGGGGGGTGTGGGGGTGCACCCCGGGTGTCATCCCCCTCTAAAAAGTCGGGCACTCGGTCATGGACCGAGAGCCCGACAGTGTCACGATTGAGGAGGGGACCCGGCGGCATACCTCATCCTGCCGGGTGAAGGTCCCCTCCCCTCTCTGCCGGCGTCCATCACCAAGATGGCCGCCGACAGGCCTCATCAGAGGGTTGTGCCTGCGCGATGACGTCATGCGCACACGCGATGAAGACACGGCGGGTGTCACCCGGTCTAGAGACCGGGTGACACCCGACCTCGGGATGCCCCTGGTTATGGTATGGTATAATATGGAGTATGGCATTAGTTAGACCTATTTTTAATAGTACCTATCAAGCAGCCAGAAACTACATTTATCTGGAATCTACCAATCCCCGTGGATGCCGGATAACGGGGAGTTTACTGTATAAAGAACTACAAGATGTGTGAGCTCAAGAATTGAACAATCGAGCAACAAAGGAAATTCATTTTAGCATAACCATATTACCTCTGAAAGTCTGGGGAAATATGTCTTGGATGCTGTTGCCTGATGTATGTTAAAAGATAAAACTGTTGTGTGTGGCATAATCTCTCGACTCATGAGAAGCAATGTAATTAATTTCCAAGCTGATA